AAAAGGTAAGATGTGTTTTTAATTCTGGTGCCGCTCTGAACACACAAGCTTGTTAGCTAGCTAGCTCAACCTTGTTAGCTAGCTAGCTCAAAGGACATTCAAATTTCCTCTATAGAAGTGGCTTCTCCTAGGTATAATTCTGTAGACCTAGTTCATATAATGCATGTCATAACAAGATGCCCAGCACTTCAAGCCTCCTCCTCAACCCTCTCTCACTCTCTCCCCACCTGCAAAATTTCAGTTGGATCTTGCGCCACAGGCTACACCTTTTTTTTTGGTTCAATCCGGTTCAGAACTTTAATTTGTTGGTCGGAACAGTGGAACGAAAAAAATAAATAATGTGTTTCTGTTCAGAACGAAACAATTTGAAAATATTTCGGTTCCAACCCCTGGTTATTAGCGGACAGGGCCTTTAACTGTACCATCAGCTGTAATGGGCCTGCTATTACAGAGGCTTTATTATCTCCCTGCTTTTCCTTGTAAAACCACTGTTGTTCCTCTGATTTACCCCTGAATGATTTATGCTCACTGGTCTGGCCACTGATAGACCCTGGCAGGAAAGATAGAAACACACTTAGGGGCTTTCTCGTGGGTAAACACATCATATTAAAAGCCAACTTGTTTCGAAAGCCCAAACACATTTGCTACCTGGGGGTGGCCCAATGTCATTTCACTTGTCAAATACCACAGTGTCAGAGCCAATCAGGCAACACGGCTGGCAATACAAGCCATTTAACCTGAGCAAACACGGCGTGTCATAAAGCCCAAAGAGAACTTAGAGCCTCTGCAAACACCGGCGAGGTATAGCGAGGACCATCGGGCACGAATCAAGGCAGCCACGGTGAACACGAGTCACTCCCGTAATGGGTTTGTGATGACTCAAGAACCAAGGGCCATCTGCTTGCTCCAGTGGGGGAGGACAGAATGGACAGAATCACAGTTCAGAGACACACGAATCAACCGATATTAGCATGATTGGTAGTAAAGGGAAAAATTGGGCTACTGTCACAGAATGCATAAGGTTGAAAAAATATATACATCTTAAAGTGATAGTTCAGTGATTTGACATATTAATATACGTGTTTTCTTTGAAAAGCAGTATATGCACAATGAACGAAAATATGTAAAATAGCTGAACTATCCCTTTAAGCCATATTCTATGTATTGTAGCCAGATAACAGGATTAGCATGGTGATTTTCAGCTACTATACAAGAAGCCTAGAAGACATCACAAAATTAACCCCTTTCTCCGAAACCCATTTCTTTCTTTGTGAAATAAAATGTTATAAGATCTCTATAAGCTCTCTTGCTTAGTGCTCTTTTGTAGGGTATTCAATTTCCCTGATGACATGAACGCTCACCACGTATTTAAAACACAGAGGTTTGCATGGGATTTCAATGTGGAACTTTGAATAAACCACAGTCATTTGTGTCCGCTCTGCAACCGTGAAGTTCATTTCAACAGCCAAAGTCAACCACAGCCTCGGACACACACAACTGAGATGAGGCACCAGAACAAAAAGGCTTTTCTCCTGGAAGCACAAGTTTGACTGTACGGTCGTTCCACAAAAAGAGTACCTTTTGCTTACTTTTAATATTTTAGGTAGAAATTGTGCATCAATATCTAATTTTAAAAGCCTGCTATATCAAATGAAATGCCCTTTAATATAGACCACATGGAGAATTCAGTAAATCACATTTGTAATATGAACAGAGGCTTGCTAAAGTGAAAAAAGTCCAAGTTTCACCATCATTGTAAAGCCCTAGTTATTTTGTTGCTTTGATAAAGTCATTTCTGAAGACTATTATTTATTTCATGTTGATTAGTGACTCTGTCCCTCATTTTAAGGTCAACCCTGTTACATGAACTGAACTTTTGTTTGAATATAGTGAAACTATTCCTTGCATTTTTTTCAAAAGAAGCATTGAACATCTAATAGTAAAATCATAGTGTAAAATCAGGAGAGCTGGTTCGACTCTTTTTGGCCATTTTCTGATGTTTTGTGGTGGAAAACTGAGCGAGTCGAGCATACCACGTTAACCCTGTTACCAATAGATAGACAGGCTAGAAATATTTTAGCAATTCATTTGCCACTCCCTGTTGCACACAACAAGATTCCGTCCTCCTGTCACGAGGGGATTTATGGCTGATTTAACATGAAATCTCTAACCCTGTTACGGTCAACCCTGTTACTTTTATTTGGCATTTAATAGGCACTTACTATAGTCCGTTTTTATTTAACCTCTTGAGATGGGAAACTTGTTTTTTATGTATACTGAACAAAAAGGAGTATTTCTGTTTGTAATAAAGCCCTTTTGTGGAGGAAAACGCATTCTGATTGGCTGGGCCTGGGTACCCCGTATGCCCTCCCAGGCCAAACCAGGGCTGCGCCCCTGCCCAGTCATATGAAATCCATAGATTATGGCCTAATGAATTTATTTCAATTGACTGATTTCCTTATATGAACTGTAACTCAGTAGAATCGTTGAAATTGGTGCATGTTGAGTTTATATTTTTGTTCAGTATAGTTGAACATGTGCTCTTTATGAGTTACACTCAAGGCACCGAATTGGTGGAACAACCCTGTAATCAAATAATTTGTAATCCATCATATTAAAAGTTAGGTGTTAAATGCTTCAAAAAAGCAATCAGATGGATAAAGTTAAAGGGGCGATACATTGCACTATAGGCAATCAATAAAAACATCTAAGAGTAGGACATATAATAGGGTTTGCCTGTAACCTGGCCTGACAAATTAAGGCAAGCTGTGTTTTTTCATTACTTACACATCCGTTTTCATTTTTCCCCCAGTGAAACCAATTAAACAACGCTTCCTTAAATTAGCCATTGATTTTTTGCGAGTGACACTTTACACGAGGCAATAATAACTTTAAGGCAGTGTTACTTTTTCATTACTGACACTCCAGCTTTTTAAGAGTAGGAACAAAAGACACAAACAATTGTCCAACATGAAAAAAATACTGCCTTAAATTAGACATTGATTTTTCTTTGGGTGTCACTTTTGGCTAAATGCTTTGTGGTAGGGAGTATCCCCACCAACCTGGAAATTGACAAGTTACTTTTCTCCATTGCACTTCACTACACCAACACACACATGCTTGGTTGAACTGCTCTAAATTTGTCCGTGCCTGTCAGTAAATCTATGAACTACAACCTATTATCCTTACTGAGTAATGTGGTTTTGAAACCTTACAGAATATATGTGTTTTATGCAACAAGAGGTTTCGTGGTAAGATTGGCTGTGGAAATGACGACAAAAATGTTATTTTCTATTTCAGTAGTTGCCATAGATAGCTCAACCAAGATCCCATACTTCGATTCTCTTTAAACATGTTTACTTGTTAAGAAACTTAAATAAATCTGAAAATATTGTATTCATGGTAAAAAAAATATATATATTATTTTCATGGGTGACAATCACGCATATACCAGTTTTTCAGCACTATTTTATTACAGAATTTTGGCTATTGCTAATCCCATCCCAACCTGTATACTTTTTACAGAACTTCATCATGGTGACTTAATTTTTTTCATTTTCGAAGAAAAAACAAAACATATGTATAAACAAAACACTTAAACATAGAACGCAGAATTGCAGATTGCAGTTGCCATTATTTTTAGACTATAAAATGACAGTTACAATTAGAAGCAGCAACCAATTTACCTGATTATACATGGAACCCTATTTCAGATATAACATGGATCTTTATCATACTATAAAATTCTAAATATTTCGGATATCTTTTTATCAAAATGCAACCCAAGTGATGGCAACGATGTATGCAACATTTTCATAATTTGTCTACAAACAAAAAGGAAAAAGTTAGATATTTTTGATTTCATTTTGCATGTTTTTCTCTTTTTTGTATGCATTCCTCAAATTACATTTGATTTTAAAAGGGGAAAGCAACATCGTGTGATAGGATTGATTTAAAATAAATGTTTGTTTTGTACATTTAACCCATTGTGGCCTTCAAATATCGGATAACTAGTGAGTGTTATGGCTGAATTTATACACATCATTAACATAAAAACCATTTGTGTCATATAATGTAGGACAAATTAGAATTAAATGTGTGTTATAAATATGTAATTCATTAAGTTGACTGCTGATGTGATATACACAAAAATGCAAAGGCTTAATGAAGGTACAGTGTCTGCATCATTAGATTTTTCAATACAGGTCATTTGCATTACATATGCAATTATAAAGTATGTTTAGGGTGAATTTGATTGCATCTGATCGTTTGTGTCGAATTTCTACAGGTCTACACTGTCAATGCAGTTTTGAAAAGGAACCCAACATCCAGTCATATCATGATGTACTGTGGGGCAGTCAGTATTGGCAGATAAAGGGGCACATTTAAAACAGGTAACGAGGCAGCATGTAGATGTCAACTAAGAGTGTTATAATTACATTACTGTTTCAAGTCTATAATTATGTCACTTCACCATAAAAGTATCTTAAAAGCATGTCATTACAATACATTGCATTATTCACACAATGAGTAAGAAAGTACACATGATGGAGATAAAAGGGTAATTGAACAAAAAGATAATTGAAAGAAATAATTGAGGATGCTTCCTGTAACTGTCGAAAAGATCAGGATGATTTTTTTTCTTTAAGCTCTGAGGATTCACCTGCCTAGACTGCAGGAATATGTCCATATGTGACCGTTGGCCTTTGAGTCCTGTCTCATACAAATACGGCATGCTCGGGGGAAAAAAATCCCTCCTTTAATATCAACATAAACATCTGAAACGACCCAATTACATAGCTAGCCCCCGCAGGTTCACACACTGTCAGTCAGTCCATAAAGTGCACTCTCCATCCTGCAGTACAGCTTGGACGTCAAAAAAATAAGAAGAAAAAAGTTTGTGAGAGAGGGTGAGTCGGGGTCCTCTGAATGACAAAGTATTTTCCCCCGCTCGTAGCCACTGTGAAGTACATTGCAGTTCGGCGGCTTGGGGCTTTATGTTAATAAACGTAACCCTCGCTGTACGGGTGTGGCGGGTTGCAGTAGGGCCCCGCCTCCTGCACGTAGGTCATGTTCTCGTCAAAGTGTGACAGCGGCACTGTGTCCTCCTCGTTGATCTGCCGCTCGATGTCCGTCTTCAGCACGGGCCGCTGATTGTCAGGGAAGGCCATGGAGAACAGAGCCTCGGGGTCGCACACAAATTTGTACACGTATCTCTCCCCTGCCACCTGGAGATAAGATAAGATTAGATGAGATAAAATCAGATTAACTTTATTGTCCCCAAAGGGACATTTGTCAGAGCACATGGTTGACTATGGAGAAGAAGGTATTACAGCTAATCAAACGCAGAAACATTGTCATATGTCTCTTGTCAGGGTGCAGCCTTAGGCCTCTTTTACCTTCTGCATAATGCCTTTTTCGTAGTAATAGCGTAACGATCGGCTGAGTTTGTCATAGTTCATAGCTGGTCGATTCTTCTGGATTCCCCATCGACGTGCAACCTTTGTTACACACACACACATTAACAGACAGACACAAAGGGGAAATGGTCATGGTGTTCATTATTAGAACCAAAATGTCATAGAAATATCACATTTATTATGTTTTGTACAGATTTGTGGCATTAGTCTTGTAAAATATTCCTTATCCATAATAAGAGCTGACAACATAACACACTTCCTGTTACACAACTTCCCAGTAAGAATGCAATGACGTTGTCTAAATGTCAAAGCTTACTAATCCATATTTCCTAATAACAGCAATTAGAGTGGATCCAGACTCCACACCCCTTAACAGGGATGTGTTCATTAGGAACTTGTCACCCACCCAGTGGAGCAGGCAGCAGATGTTACAGCACCTGTCTACCAGACCACACACCCTCACATCCTCCATTCTAAAGCCCTACTCCTACTCTGTGTACAGCTCTCTCTCTCTCTCTCTCTCTCTCTCTCTCGCTCTCTCTCTCTCTAACCCTGTCTCTCTCTCTCTCTCTCTCTCTCGCTAACCCTGTCTCTCTCTCCCTCTCTCTAACCCCCTCTCAATCTCTCTCTCTATTTTGCTCTCTCTCTCTCTCTGCCTGGACCCAACACTAAAAACGTTGCACCCACTTTCATGTCCTCATGCTCATTCATGTGATACACCTGCCCGGGCCAAAGGCAGAATTTACGGCCACCCAAAGCCCAAAGTAAGCGCGTTTTGGTCACCTGATGGTATGAATGGCCCCCCTGTTCGCTGCAGCTGGCTGGTCCCACTGAGTTGGGCCATGTGGACTGATGCCAAGTTACCCCCCCAACACACACACACACACACACACACACACACACACACACACACACACACACACACACACTCCTCTAACCATTACCCTACCAACACACCGGACATTGACCGTGCCTCTCTGTCTGCTATGTAAGAGCACAAACCCAGACCTGTTCCATTTCAAAGGGCCGAACCGTCAACACCGTTTATATTTTTAGGAACAGGTTCATTTAAATATTTAGTAGGCCACTCTCCGGTTGACAGTGTGTTTGATTTGATCAGATTACATACTTTTAGCACGTGGTGGGGCAATAAAAAAGGAACTTCAGTACGGTACATTGCTTAGTTCAAACATTTCCTAACATGTTATTCTGACCCTTTGAAGAGCAGATTTCACCTCAAATTCACATCAATGATCAGAAAACTCTGGTCTGTTGCTTTAAGGCTAATTTTAACTTTACGTCATTTAGTCAGACGCTCTAAACCAGCGACTTATATTGTGCTTCCCTTTGCCAGTGGACAACCACTTACCCCTATGTTTTCTTCTTGTCCCTGGGGTGAAAGGGGTAGAAGATTACGTCACCCAATCCCAGTATTCCTTCAACGAGTGGGTTGAAGTGTCTCCGGAAGTGGTGGTGATCCCTGTCCTGGCGTCGTGAGGGAGCTGTTCCACACACACACAGGCGTCCAACCAGCGAACAGTTTTTACTGACGCTACGGACATGACCTGTGCTTCTGCAGGTAGGTGGCCACAGCCCAGACGTTGATTAACGAACCTACCCGTTTTGGGTGTATGAACTGATCAGAGCATCCTGTAAGGTTTCGATGTGATCAGTTCACACTTCAGTCAAGCTCACGTATGCAGCAACACCTCATGGCCTTAGATGGAAGGGACTAAGATACTCTATGTGGAATATGATGAGACAGACATGCTCTCACCTCCTCTGGCTCGATGAGTTTGAACTCCATACCCCGGCCGGTCCAGGCTATAAAGTGAGAGTTGGACGGGTCGTCCAGGAGTGCCACCAGGAACTGCCAGAGCTGCAGAGATCCTCTGCGCTGGTAGGTTGGACCTTCACGGTACAGACCTGACTCCTGTTTTATATCACCTAGTGGAGGGATGGAGGGACGGGGGGATGGAGGGAGGAGGATGTCATTTCACGTTTTAATTACTTAAAATGTCTTTGATTGAAATTACAAGTGAAAGCAGCAGTTTAGGTTTATGTGACGACTCTTGGACGACTCACCTTCAACCTTTTCGGGGACCACGCAGGTGTCGTCGTAGAAATGTCTCGTGACTTTATCGAACATGCAGCCTGAGAGACGAGACAGTGTTGAGAAATCACATTAGGAAAACGGCAACTTGAACAGGATGAATAACCCAACCAACATGCATATCTCCAAGTGTCATCCCTCACCTTCAGTCCTGCTGGTGTGAGCCAGATAGCCGTCTTGCCTCAGGTAGACAGAATGGCAGCTAGGCACTTCTGCTGGAGACAGAGAAGAATGGGTGTTAGAAGCCCTTAAGGGAGCATTAGGACAGTATCAGCTATCTGAGAGCAGTCAGTTACTGCTCACTCACTGCACCACTGCCCCTGATTAAAGAACATGTCTTCTAGCATCACACTGGAGCTCAGCCAACAGTAAGTGTACAATATTACACTAGTACTGAACAGTGTAATATCACAGTCTAGGCTAAGCTCAGGATAACCTATTAGCAGCATTGGAGTAAATGTAGCATAACATTTTGGGCATGTTTTCTGCTTGTTCTGTTTCTTCAGCAGTGAAGCATGATGGCTGTGATGGCTTTGTTTCACTGGTACTATTTACAACAGTATAATACTATACTGTATATGTCTGGGCCTCCTACAACATTACAGATGCTGGTTACAATCAAAGGGCAGAAACAGTTACAAAGTGAATGTTCAATAAAATGACTAACCCCGTTAATTTAGGGCCATCAACATTTCTCTGAACTTCATCAAAGTAATGGACTTGTGGAGGAAATTACTTCTAATAAAATTACCAGGCTCCCTTCCCATCCTCTCAACAGGCCTGTTCTAGTAAACAAGCTGCAGAATGACTGCTAATAAATTCCCCTAAATGGTCAATCTGGTATAGAAAAGATGCTGGAAAAGGCCTCCTCCCTCAGTTCATCCATGCCATTGAGAAACATGGAAACCTGGGTAAATGTTTGCAGGGTAGTGTTCATTAGGCACCAAACTGAAGAAAACAGACTGAAATAAACTGTCCAGTGTGGCTCAGTTGGTAGAGCATGGTGCTTGCAACGCCAGGGTTGTGGGTTCCATTCCACCGGGGACCAGTATTGGAAATGTATGCACTCACTACTGTAAGTCACTCTGGATAAGAGAGTCTGCTGAATAACTAAAATGTAAATAGTGAGGACTACCTGGATATAGAAACATTTGTTTTCTGTTGCGTGCTCTTATGAACATGCCCCTGTTGAAAAGGGCTCATGTTACAGAGAGAAGGCTAACTCAAAGGGAGCTCAGTGCTGTTTATATTGAAATCTTTCTCTGCAGGAGGCAGCAGAGTGGACGCCACATTCCACTCTGACTGGGCACACTATTACACCACTCCACAGTAATCTCTCCTTGGCTCTATCTTATGAATGAAGCCAGCAGTCCAGTGCAGGTTCATTCATTCATGCCCTGGCGTGGCCTCAGGCCTCCGGCCTCTGGGACCCGGATTATAACCCCCCCACCACCCCTTCTGCGGGGGCGGACTGTGACCAGGCACAGACATTAGTGCACCACAGGAAATGGATCCCGGCACAGACACCCAAACCAGAACCCCCTGCGCTAATAATGGGTTAATCCAATCAACATGCTCATTCCTCAAATGACAACTATCTGGTTTGATTAAAAAGAGTGTGGCTTGATGCTGTGGTGGTTCCAAATGCACAAGTATTTGGTTATGTTATTGAGTGAAAAGAGTGTTCTTTGGTTGAATTTGTCATATTTCTCTAATGGTGGACACTAAAATATAAATATACAGCAGGCTACATTTCTTTACAGTCCTTACCCTAGTTATAGATTCAATGGTTGTAAAGATGGGGAGAGGTCTGTCCGTAATAAAGAGATGTTCTGCTTTTTTGACACCACACTCCACAAAGCAAGTCCTGCAGGCTGTATGTTTTGATATGTAGACTATGTATGTAGTTCTGTCCTTGAGCTGTTCTTGTCTATTAATGTTCTGTATTATGTCATGTTTCAAGTTTTGTGTGGACCCCAGGAAGAGTAGCTGCTGCTTTCGTAACAGCTAATGGGGATCCTAATAAAATACCAAATACCAGTTACAATGACATAATGACATCACAATATTAAACACAACATATTTTACTGTATCTCTCTGACAACCACCTCCTCCCCCCAAAAAGAAGAGGACACCCAACACACCCACTCACCTGAGTCATAGGTGAAATCCCTGGGCTCTTGTTTGATCATCATGGAGGGGGGGTACGTGTGGGGGATGGGGGCCCCCACCATGGCAGGGTGCTCAAACAGGGGGTCGGGGTACTCCTGCTTGAAGCCTTGTGGGGGGAATGGGATGTTGGGCTCAGACATCTGTCTGTGGTACATGGGCCTTCCATCCCGAGACATCGCCGGTGGGGAAGGGAACGAGTGGACAGGGCTCCGACAGCTGACGTCGAAATCTGTCACAAATATTTTCACTCATTTTCATGATAACTGATTGAGACAGACGGACTGACAGAAAGGCACATTTTTAAACCTTAACAATGTATACAACCCGTTGTGTCTAATTAGAATGGTACATCTAGATTCTGGTAAACTGTACTGAATGTACTAAAATGATCAAATAAACGTCAAATGTGCACTTGAAACTATGTCAATAATGTTTTGTTAGTGACATTTTAAAGAGGATGTAGTGGTAGCCTACAGTATACAGTAGCTGTGTAGCACAGTACCTGTGGTCCATGGAGTAGGCGCTGTCCGGGAGGGGCTGGGAGGGCTGGAGGTGGGGGTACGTCCTATCTGGTTTAGGGGTGGGGACGGCCGTGGGGGAGCCATGATGAAGGGGGGACACGGGGGTGCTGCAGGGGGGTGTCGCTGGGCTGGAGGGCTTCATGCCTGTGGGGTGTTTGTGCTGCTGGTAGGCACTGAGAGACACACGGGGTGGAGGGATCAGTCTCTTGTTGTTTTTAGATTATATCCATGCATGTCATTTGACAGAAGCCATTGTAGTGTGGCCTAGTATTTGAACGCTGTCAATCTTTTTTTATTTAATAGTTATTGTCAAAATGACAGTTTTAAAACTTTTTTGACATAGGCTCAGAATACATTTTGACCAAAAGCTTGACGAATTTGAATTCTGACACATTTTCCTTCTTTAAAAAAATATATATTTTTGCGTATGTTGAGGGTTTCAAATAGTCTTGTGTCACCTCTTCTAGAATACTTCTTCAAGATGATCCTTGACGTACATGGTACTGTAATATCATAAGCATATATCACAATGCCATATATCACAAGTCAAATAAATTCAAGATTTAATGTAACTAGGCAACTCTTGTGCCATGGGCATTTTGGTTCATTTGAAAAAAGCAGTTAATTGAATTTAATTGAACTTGCACCTTAGGTAGACAGTATATTATCGTAGATTTCCCCAAGTCAAGTGCATCCCACTTGAAACATTTTGCACAGCACCTGGCCTTTTGTTTCATAGGGAATGGCTGCAATTCCAATGTCTTGAATTCTCAAAATGGAAGGAAGTAATACAACATTGAAAACAGAGTGGGAAGCCAGAAGTACTGTAGTTTATCAAGCAATCATAATGAAGTAGTCATTATCCATCCAACAGTGTGGAGATATATTAGACAGCCCGTGGAGATGAAAAAAGACTGTACAAAGTGTGTTTTCATATTTTTTTTCATCAAACCACATTTACCTGCAGAATCCTTGTGAGTGTCACTACAGGTAAAATAAATACTACAATATCCCACAGGATATTTTCCAAATCACCAAAACCTATGGTGTTCATTTTTGGTTGTTAGTCTATTTCTTTGTGTGCAATCTGGCACTGTTGGTTCCAGACTGGGAAAAATGGAACCGCATCTGATATCATACTGGCTGATGCAGAGAACTCTGATGTTTTCAACCTGTTAATACTTATTTTATCAAGCTGAGGCTGGTGCTGTGGCTTACCTACCTGATGTTGTACAGGCACTTCTCCCCATAGTGGAGTTTGAAGGGCCGCTCCTGGTTACAGGTGGAGCCCAGCTCGGAGCAGGGGCTGTGGGGCTCTTTCTTGATCTTCAGCTGCAGTCCGTGGAATGCTACTATGACATGTATGTGTGAGAAGGAGGGAGGGAGGGAGGGAGGGAGGGAGGGAGGGAGGGAGGGAGGGAGGGGAGACAGGTGGAAAGGTACATTAGATAGGTGATGTTGAAACATTTATTCAGTAACTAATTCATTATTTATCAGTACTCTATATGTCCAAATGTACAATAGTCATATCACCATGGAAAGTAAACCTATTCTGAAGGCCCTTCCACCATATAAAACATCCTTATTCGACACTTGGGTAATAGGTATACATAAAAGCATGTCCAGCACTTCATCGTACACCACTGCTGTCCCTAAGGACAGGGCCGGGAATATCTAGTCCAGAATCCCAGTCTTCATCACTCACTGTAACTCACAATGGGAATCTCTTCCTTCATGAAATATGACAATCTCAAAGCAGGTCTAGACTCCACTAAATCCCTATCATGTTTCAGCTAACTGCCAATACTGTCCAGACAACAACAACAAGGCCCATTGATCTGAGCCCACTCTCTGTACCTATGCCCAGTTGCCCACAGTGGCCTGTGCATTTAAGAAGCTGTTAAGTGCCAAATCAGTCCTGATTAACGTCCCATCATCTTGAGTCATGATCAACACTAATTCAATTGGCCACGCTGATGAAAACCAAGTCAGTCAGGATGAAGTCAGTCCTGGGTACCTGGAGAGCTAGCGTGTCACCGCTAATAAACACACATAGGCTATGAACGTGCACAAACATGCACACACAGTTGCACCAGGCACACGCACAACTACTAAGGAGAGTATAAACCCAAAGTGCTTTACTTATGCAGAGAATAGGGCACAATCATTTCCTCATTACAGTTGACAGGAAGAGGTGTGTCAATCTTCATTTCAAAATCCGCATCAGACCGATCTTGAAGGGAAGTGAAAACCTAAACAAAAAAATAAAATTGCTTGTCTTTTCTCTGGTTATTTAGGGCTAGAACCATGCTAAAATGTCTACCTGGGGGATTGCCAGCCCAGTGTATGTTTTTCTTGAATGGGCCTTGTAAAACAAGTCCATTCCGGGGCTGATGACTGAGGAAGTAGTTTAGGGGTTGAGGAGCTGAGAGAAGCGGATGTTTTGAGTTTCTCACTGCTGACTGACAGCTTGCCCTGTGTGACAGTGTCACAGTCTCTTTGTGTGGATGAGTCGATCTGTCAACACCCCATCTGACGCCTGGGTCCCAGGGGACTGATGCACGGGGCACGTTGTGGCAAAGCACAGGGGATGTTCACAGGTCTCCCTGGCCTCAGTGGGGCGCGACCTTTACGGGTCATCGATCGGAGGTCAAAGTGGTACTTCCTGAGGGAGACCTTTGACGAGGTCGAACGGCGTCACAGGCGTCGCAGACACAGAGGCTGCAGCCTTATCTGGCTAATTAAAGGCTTATGACAAGAGGGACAATAAGTAGCAGAGACTTATTGTGATGATTGTGTCTGTTCATTTCACTATCGAGAAGCTAAAGGTACAAGTTGTTTACTGTTTTATGATGTACATGTATTTATCAATGGACATACACTGAACAAAAATATAAATGCAGCATGTAAAGTGTTGGCCCCATGTTTCATGAGCTAAAATAAAAAAATCAAATTCAAATTCAAATCAAATTTTGTTTACATCCCTGTTAGTGACCATTTCTCCTTTATCAAGATAATGGCATGATAATGGCATGATAATGTGTGGCATATCAAGAAGCTGATTAAACAGCATGATCATTACACAAGTGCACCTTGTGCTGGGGACAATAAAAGGCCACTTTAAAATGTGCAGTTTTGTCACACAGCACAATGCTACAGATGTCTCAAGTTTTGAGGGAGCGTGCAATTGGCATGCTGACTGCAGGAATGTCCACCAGAGCTGTTGCCAATTTAATGTTCATTTCTCTACCATAAACTGCCTCCAACGTTGTTTTAGAGAATTTGCCAGTATGTCCAACCGGCCTAACAACCGCAGAACGCCAGCCCAGGACCTCCACATCCGGCTTCTTCACCTGCGGGATTGTCTGAGGTGGGGGGGGCCTGGCTGCCAAGTGGATGGCCTATGCCCTCCAAGGCCCACCCATGGCTGCACCCCTGCCCAGTCATGTGAAATACATAGATTAGGGCCTGATTAATTTATTTCAATTGACTGATTTCCTTATATGAACTGTAACTCAGTAAAATCTTTGAAATTGTTGCATGTTGCGTTTATATTTTGTTCAGCATAATTATGCATTATGAAATTATGTATTTGTTATACAACATAGTAAGTTAATATGTACATGAACTGAATGAGCTACAATGTTAAGAATAGCTCATGCGCTCTAAGAGAGGCACCTAAAATAGAGATGGAAATGTCACAATAGATTTATCAGTTGGGTGCCAAGGTACAACAATCAATAGGGAAGACATCACCTGTAACTAGAACAGATGAATCCCTTTTTAGAATGTCAGGTCCATCAATGTTAAATTGCTGTGATTATCTACAGATTGATTTATAAATGACTGTGTTTTTTAAGAACAAGCATTTATGACTTATTTGGCTGGTTTTCTGTACACAAATGAATATGTGTTATGCTTGCCCACATTAATTGCATTTTGATAACAAATGACTAGTGTTTGTTTATAGCTATTCCTTATTTAGAAACCAAAGCATACATTTGGTTCAAAACAACCGTTTGATCATAGATTTTTTTAAATACAGATTTTAGTCTATTTGCATTTTGTCTCTGACTTTATGCTTTGCAGTGCACAAAGTAAGTGCACACACTCTCTTTCATTGATTATTTTGGTTCCCTTATTTAAATAATATTTGAAATACCCCCCAACCAGCTATGCCATTCACAGTGAATTTTCTCAATACAGCCACTATATTAGCTGCAAGCTAAGAAATGTCATTTTGGTTCCAATCATTCCTAATTACCACAAAACACCCTTGAGGGCAACAGTTGTGTGTGTTGGGTTGCAAACTGTGTATTTTGCCATTTACAGTGAAGTCTACTTTTGGCAGATATTTCTCCAGTCCATTCATAAAATATCTGTTTTTTGGCAACAGGGAAAAAACCCTGCGAATTTTCACAAACTGTAAGTGCTCGCCATTACTGTTAATGTTAAATGTTAGTAGCTCTTATCCGCTGATTACATGTGGTCTCATTTTACACCACCTACAGTACTTCTTCATACCCTGCTAAGTTATGCTAATGAGAGCTTGGAAACCACTAGCATTGAAGGTATTTGACAAATAAAATATTTCCTCCATGTGCACAGCCTGAAGATTCAATGGCTGGTGTGTGGAAGTTTCCCCTTCAAATTTGATGATAAGTATGGTCGATGGACCTGGAAAAATTGTCCACAAGTGAGGTGATAAAGTGAGGACATGAATGCTTCTTTCATCTCTATGAAGCGCAAGAACATATGTCAAAAATATCTGATTATATTAACAGTGTTCTCAAAGTCTATTTCCACGTTTCCACCTATTCTCAATGTCTATTTCCTCATACTGTAAGTGACTGCCATACACCTCGTTCTACCTCTATTGACCTCTAAACAATCCCACCATCCTCTCTCTCTCTCTATCTCTCCTTGGTGAAACCCATATTGGAGTGCTGCAGGCTGGGACGCCTGCTCGAGAGCCCAACCACGGTGCCCTCGCCCTCCCTCCCACCATCTGTTTGTATCTCTTCAGTCTGGTCCAGCATGCCAACAGGACATTTCCTATGGTCAGCAGTCTCCTACTACAACGGACATGATGGGCCCTGGATGGCTTTGAAGGACATGGGGATGGTTTCTGTGACCTCAAGACCTTATGGATGTTACTGTGCAACCATTTTGGATCCTATAGTGGATATGTACCACACTGTGGTTCCTCAAAGCCAAACAGTTCCTTGAGACAAAGAAATAAAAGTAGTGAAATGAATAAAATATTCTGAGGTGAATATCAAACATGTGAGTGATAGAGGGAGGTAATGGTTATTATAGACAGATAGAGCACTAAGGGCGTGGACACAGTTTCCTGCTTTCTCACTGTTGCATAGGCCTTTTGTCTCATCTGAAAGACATGTGCTAGCACTGGATCCCACTGAGCTCCACTCACTCCAGTTCTGTCTACACGCTGGCTGACTTGACTCATAACCACATTGTGCCAACAGCCTCGTCTCCACTCACTTTAAAGGCTCACTGTACTGTACCACCAAGTGCATTATAATGTCTAATGAATACATTTAAGTAACGATATATTTGATTTTTTCCAGTATAACCATCACAACAAATACTGACAGTTACAAAGATGTCTTTGTTTCAGATGATAAAAACCTGTTGGAAAATATTGAGTTTGAGAAAAATAAAATAAAAATTAAACACTATCTGATTATTATCACTCATTGCAAATGACTCCAAATATTTTTATGTTTTCCTACATAAATAAACCCCAGTGCTATAATATCACAGCTACCTCTTCCACCCCCTCTCTTCTGCACCTGTCTGCCAACCCGCAAGACTAGCTCTCTGGAGAGCACATGTGAGAGTGAATGTGGGGGTACTGAGAGACATGGAAAAACACACACTCACACATACACACAAGTGCAAACACACACACACACACACAAACACATAGACTCACACATGCATACACAAATACAATAACATTGTGGCATCATATACTCACAGTTTTCAGTCTGGAAGTCTGGGACAAACTGCTCGTCATTGTCGGGAACTTGAGCTAGAGAAAGAAGCAGAGAGGAGAGGAAAAGGTGATTTTCATGCCGATGGACAACACCAAACAATGATATCTAGTCTAACCGTCTCAATCCTTTCCTTTGGCGAAAAGCCTCTAAAGACATTAAACATCTCTTTATGGACATGTATCTATTCATGAACAAAGCAATGTAACTGTAGAATCCTCCCAATGTTTATCTAATGTATAATGCACCGATGGACAAATAGAATGCAAATGGAGCAGCTAAAAGCTAAAATAATGGTCTCTAGGGAGAAAGAATGTATTGGTTGTCTAGTCTGTTTTTTGATTAGGCTGTAGCTTCAGGAGGAGTTTGCTATCTCCACGCCGATAGCAATAACACCAATTGTTAACAGTAGCTAATTGGGCTCCTCCCCACTGCTGAATCCACCTGTACCTGCCGAGTTAGCTCTATTCCAATCCAGAGTGTTTCACCTATCATTCACACTCCTGTGCTTTCGGCTAATGCTAAGATAATGAAGGCTCTGCACAGGGTCCAATTAGGCATGTACATATTTATATCACACATATTTGCACTTTTTAGGTCCCTGAGGTTTGACGAGTTTGGAGAATTGTGGCAAACGGCAATATGAGAGATTTAAATGTGTCATTAGCGCGTCTATTTTTAAGCACAAAGAGGTGGATTCTCATTATCACTGAATCAGTAACATGTTGAGGCAGGTCTGTATGACATGATCAAATTCTGTATTTTCACTTTCAAAATGATCTTGACGTTTTTTTTATCTGGTGTGAAATGACGAGAGAGAACAAACAATCCAAGAAAATAGAAAAATAAGTGGTGTAAAAACAACTGAAAAACTATTACATCAAGCCTTGTGTGAACTAATGTTCACTGTAACCAAGTGTCAATACAGTACACTGTTCTGATACACACTAGGAAATATGAATTATATTGTATGGTGCAATACTGTATAGTGATAAATATCAACATAACAGCAACTGAAGTATAATTGTAAAACCCTGTGCACCTGCTGACTTCAACTCTTTGTGCCAGCCAAGCCCCCTCTTGAGGGTGTGTGGTGTGCACTGTGATTTCTGCATCAATATGGCCATTGTAAGAACTTGAACCGCTTCATACAAAGCACCCTTTAGTGAAAAATAACGTCATACCTAGCCACTATATATAATTACAGACCAGAACTTTCTCTCAATTCAAAAGACTGGCTCCACCACAAGACCATGACTGGCAAACATTCACCCAGTGCAAGCCTGACCACTCAAAGAAAATAAAACAACAACGTCTCCACCACAACCATGTACAACTTCTTTCTACCTCAAGTTTGCTAGCACTGTGTAACACACGCGCACTGCAGACATCACAAAGTCGCAAGGTTCAAAGCGAGAGGGGAAGAAGAATGGAGACGGACAGGCGGAAACGAAAGGAGAGGGGGAGAAAAGTGATATTGCAGCCAGAAGGAGCTGCAGCAGGATGTATGAGTCACTGGACCCAGTCTGTGAATGGGCCAGCTGATCCCTGCAACAATTCCTGGGGAGAGCACCAAAAGTGGAACTCTGCCGCCATTCACAAAAAGAGAGAGAGGGAGAGAGAAAAAAGAGAGAAAAGAAAAACAGCAAAGCCCCATACACAGGCCCTGAGTAGTAGTGGCACATCCTTTGTCTTTTCCTCAACCCGTTCTTTTCATCTCAGCCCTGTTGTTGGCGCGCTAGCTAGATTTGTTTGAAACCCAACACCATCGGCCTCCTGTACCTACAAGTGCTGTGTGTCTGATGGTGTTGGGTTTCAAACAAATCTAGCTAGTGCGCCAACAACAGGGCTGAGATGAAAAGAACGGGTTGAGGAAAAGATTTACAGTCTCCTTATAAAACGTTGAATTCAATAGACCAGACTACAAAAAATTACAGTATTCTAAAATTGTGGTAACCTCACTGAATAGATCTCAAAGTCAAATTGATACTTGAAGAGCTCCCAAAAAGAGAGAAAAAAAAAGCCTTGGCCAAAATGGCCAGGTTAAGGACCCTTCAACCTCTCAGTTTGTGATGTCGGAAATTCAGTCCGTCTCCCATAATTCCTCCTCTTATTTCCAATTACCTGAATTAATAAATCTTTGAAATAGGTAGCTAGGTATTCCTTTTTATCTTAAATGGACAGGAAGTCATTTATTAAATCTACTTAAATCTTGAGATGTACATCACATTGATCCACGACAGGCAGAACTGTACTCCTTACAGTAATATCTATATCAGGAACCAAGGGCTTTTTTCTCTCACTTAAATATTAAAACGATGTCTTATTCTTTTACAAGCCCTGCGGTATATACTTCATAATCTAACTGGCAGAGAGTAGCTGGTAAAGTATTCCAATATCTATTTCAAAGCATACTTCTCATTTTTAAAACCACTAAATTACACTGCAAGCATTTTTAAATGTATTAAAGAATAGATGAATCTCATCAATGATTAAGTTGCCTATCCACCTGTGCAAAGCATTGAGCAATATTTTTCTACCTCTTTGGAAAATGTATTAAGATAACCTCAAAAAACTTACCAGAAAAACATTCAAGTTGATAGAGTATAATAAAATTAGTATATTATTAGTTAAGGATCTGCTGTACACTTAACATTACAACTATAATCATCTGCCAGTAAAGACTAAGGCCTACTGGATAAATAAGCAGGTTGTCTTGTTCAATTCTAATATAGTGCAACAGTAGAGCCGAAGAAAATATTCAAAAAAATGTATGATAACTACACATTTTTCTATATGAATTTGAAATATGTGGTCTGAATATAAATAATCAAAATGTCAACCTGTCATCAAACATTGATTCCCCTCAAAGCTTGAGAGACCAACAAAGGAAAAAAGCCATGACACTGACATAGATTGAACAACAAATGAATGATGTCATTACTGATACCAAATGTAGCATAATTCTAATCCAAAACAATATTTGTTTTAAACAGTTAGCTGACACAAGATGTTGGCATGTTTTTATCTTCCATAATGCAGTCCACATAAATCAACTATGTGTTGAGCATATAAGGGGAAAAGTAAATATGCAGTGCATTGAGAAGGATGTCCCACATACAGAGATAAACGCTGTTATACTATGTGTAGAAAGGGAACTCATGGTACATTTACAATACGAGTTAAGGTGATGGGCCCAAATTATACAGCACAAAATGTTGTGGGCTTGTTTTGGTCCCTAAGCAGGCAGCAAGTACAAATGTCAAGAATTGTCATGCATGCATACAATCATATTGACATTGGAAATTATAATGATTAAAAAGTAATGCGGATTACTTTTATAGAAAGCTACAAAGAACTCACACGTTGAATCCACATCCTACTTCATATTTACACCACTATTTACTCAGTCAGAACATTTGTGATTTAATGTTTTGAAACCTAATGCCAATAACATAGATTGGACATACGGTATATTATAATTTATAGGTCACTCTAAATGTAACCAAAGCAATAATAACATCCATAAATGTAGCAACAAAAGTTTTAAAGAATAAAAGGCCATGTTTTTCTGTTAACGCATATTGCAGCTTATTAGCAATCAATTGTAAGGAAGAAACATTGCAAACTAATAAAAATGTCCCATGCGAAGGAAAGCATTTTCAATATGTAAATGGTATTCAAGAGAAGATGAACAAACGTAGATACAAATAGCAGAATAATACGTTTACAAACTTAGACATGCACAAACACATGAAACATGCATCTTACGTAAATGTTACAGGCATAATATGATCAATATTCTTTACTAACCAAAACTCCTGTGCTGCAAACAGGGCGGAAAGAAGACACCCGCGCTTAAATCCTGAAGCATCACGTCTGAGTTATACCACACAGAGCAAATCTTGCCATTAGAAAAAAAATGATTAAATAAACAATAAATAAATAAACTCTCAAAAAAAATCTCTGTTGCTGATCACAGACCAACTGATTTTTCTAAGTAAAAAGTAAATCCGTTATTTTTCTTCCAAAAGAAAAATAAAGAAATGGAAAGGACAGCTGATACTATAGCTATAGCGGATGATCTTTAGAGAGAGATGCACTGAGAGGAAAATAAAGAGATTGAGTGAGGGAGTGTGAGAGAGAGGGAGCAAGAAAGAGAGAGAGATAGAGAGTGAGTGAGAGAGAGGAGATGGTAGAGGACCGGTGGAGGTGGTGCGGTGGTGGCGGCTTGCGTGCGTTAGCTCTTGCCAAAAGCAGAAGAGACAGTGAGCAGCGGAGAGCTTTCTCCTGGTAATTTGTGATGACACTCTGGGTAGAGCTTCCTCAGTCTCCCTCAAGACCACGCTCATCACAGTCTCTAATGTATGCATGACACACAAGGTGCCTCTTCCACACAAGCTTTAATTGGACTGCACGTTAGTAGGAATGTAACTTGGGGCCGATTTTTTCTACATCTCTACCGTTCCCTTTCCCTCTCTCCAATTATCTTACTCTGTCTTTCAAACCAAGTGAGCTTGTTGACCTTCGACACTACAGTAAATGGGTAAACACTTACCTTCCGCCAGCCAGGTCTCTTGCAGTTGACTGAGGTCCTGGAAGAGTTCTAGGAGAATAAAACAATGGAGGACAATCATGGAGGGGAAGAAAAAACACGACAAAAAAGCTTCAGACACAATTCCTTCCACTATGACAGGCTGATAGGCTTAGAGTGCCATTGGAGGCTTGGCTAGATGATTCAGAGGCACGTGTGTAGCTAATAACAACTCAATTTGTGTCTGTAGCCACTGATAGATGCTATTCGCAATCTTCACAGGTGAGTGTGTTGTGATTTAGATTTTGCTTAAGAGTGCAGGTGGCCACAAACCAATTGAATTTTGCTAAATGTTAAGAAGCCGTGAAATTAACTTTTCCCTCCCCTCCGCTCTACCTACCTTCAGTGTCCAGGGCCAGGTCAGAGATAATGAATTTTCTTTTTCTGTCATTTGCTGGTCTCTCGCTGCAAGACGTCTTCCCTTGTGGCCTCTAAAAGGGAGGAAACAAATCAATTTTTCCCACTGGAGTGATTCTGTTGTGTACTAGCACACTTACACAGAAGACAGCTGAGAGAGCAATATATGGCCATCAATCACACAGCTCACACACTTTTAAACTTGACCATGTCCCCTTTCTTTACCTATAACTACAGTGGGAATGCAACACTTCAGTGATAACTAGTAATCACATTATTACAATATTTCTTAGAATATATAACATCATGTCTTACACAGTAATAGTTAAAATATTAGGCTATCCGTTCAAACATCTGCACATGGAGGATGTGACTGAGTGACCAACTGAGTGACCAGCTGAGTGACCAACTGAGTGACCAGCTAGTGACCAACTGAGTGACCAGCTTGCAGGTTTTACATCAACTTAATAAAAACAATGTTGAATAACAATTTCCTGATATCTAAGTGCTGTTTATTTGTTATTTGGTCTTGGGTTATACGTAAAAAAAAACGTGTCTCTCACTCACATTGGATTTAATATAAGGCACTTGTTGGTCTTGAATCCCATCCATTCTGCAACGCTAGTGCTCTACTTTAATTGATAAGCAACTAGCCAGAATTGTCCGCCGAGTGTGCCGTCTGACCACCCTATATCAAGATGAATTGGGGGAAGAAAAACATGAATGGACCGTCTAAACCTGCCGAGGTAACCGACCTAAAACAGTTTCATTCATAAAGGAACTTGTACTACGATTAGCCCACTACAAAAGTAAATAAATGATATATTAGCTGCATAGCTCACAATGAGTTGTGTTTACTAACCTTTGTAAAGAGGTAGGCTACGCAGAAGGTTGTTTACTAACGGTCCACTTCTAGCTATAGGCTGTGCGCACGGATGGCGATAAATATTGAGAACAACCACCTAACGTGACCAAAAGCTCTCCTAAATAATATTCTAAGGCATGTTGTAAACACAAAATAGAAAATAAAAGGATAGGATAGGGACACTCACCTAATTAATATACGACGCATTCATTCACGGGTTTCTGTCTGTACTTAGTAAGAAACAAAAGTCAGCGATGTGAAGCCCACTGCTGAATCGCCCGGCTGAAGCTCGCGCACACTCAGCTCTGGTGTTGCTTTCGCGCGGCTTGGCTTCTCCTCCTGGGGCCTCCCATGGAAAAAGAAGGCGCTCCGTTTCCTATTGGTTGTCGATGTCTTTCACTGGATCAGATTTCCACCCTTCAATCAGACACAGTTTTAATCATGTGTGTTGAACTTCTAAAGAGAACAACTTGTGAAGAACAGTGTCACAACTGTGTGTGTGTCTGTCTGTCTGTGTGTATGTGTGTGTGCGTGCGCATGTGCGTTTTAAACTTTTATCACTTTGCACAATGTTTCTCAAAAATGGCATTGGGCTTTTAAAAAGCCACTTTTTATACATTTACTTGATGCTACATTTGAAAGAAGGAAATAGGCTACCTGTGTACAGAACCTGTTTTGTTTTGTTTGAGAGCATGTTTCTCAGAGCACATTCTTGATCACACACACTCTCTCTCTCACACACACACACACACACACACACACACACACTTATGTTCTTCTATTTTCCCTAACCCCTAACCCTAAACCTAAACCTAACCCTTACCTTAACCCTAACCTTAACCCGTAACCCAAAACCTAACTCCAAACCCTAAACCTAACCCCTTACCCTAAACCTAATTGTAACCCTAATTGTAACTCTAACCCTAAACCTTAAACTTAAAATAGCCTTTGTCCTCATGGGACATGTTCCTGTCACGATCGTTTACAGACAGGTCAGACCAAGGCGCAGCGTGATATGCATACATGTTTATTTAAACTTAATAAACACAACGACAAAACAATAAACGAAACGAAAAGTCCAAGGTAGACACAAACAACATACCTTTCACGGAACAAGATCCCACAACCCACTAGTGCCAATAGGCTGCCTAAGTATGGTCCCCAATCAGAGACAACGAGCGACAGCTGCCTCTGATTGGGAACACACACAATAGACATACTAGATTCTACAACATAGAACTAACACAACAAGGAATACACACACCCTGACTCAACATATAAGCGTCCCCTGAGTCAGGGCGTGACAGTACCCCCCCCCCCCCCCCGAAGGTGCGGACTCCGACCGTGCAACATAAACATAACAGGGTAGGGGCCGGGTGGGCATTCCGCCTCGGAGGCGGATCCGGCTCCGGGCGTGACCACTACCTATCCTCCGCCTCCCTGTTGCGCCCCTGGTCTGGTCTGGACCTCGGCGCGCTGCTTGCCCTCTCCTTCCTCCCACGAAGTACCAAGCCCTGTCTGGACCCTGGTGTGGGAGACCCCGAACCTGGAGAGGGGCTGACGTCTGGGTCTGGACTGGAACCGCTGACTGGAGCTGAACCCGACGACGGTGGAGCGGACTACTCAGGCTCCGGACTGGAGCCGCTGACCGGAGCTGGATTGGGCACCGGTGGAGCGGACTGCTCTGGCTCCGGAGTGGAGCCGCTGACCGGATCTGGACTGAACCACGGTGGAGCGGACTGCTCTGGCTCCGGAGTGGAGCCGCTGACCGGAGCTGGACTGGACCCCGGTGGAGTGGACTACTCTGGCTCCGGAGTGGAGCAGCTGACCGGAGCTGGATCAGGCACCGGTGGAGCGGACTGCTCTGGCTCCGGAGTGGAGCCGCTGACCGGAGCTGGACTGGACCCCGGTGAAGCGGATTGCTCTGGCTCCGGAGTGGAGCAGCTGCCCGGAGCTGAACTGGGCACCGGTGGAGCGGACTGCTCTGGCTCCGGAGTGGAGCCGCTGACCGGATCTGGACTGGACCACGGTGGAGCGGACTGCTCTGGCTCCGGAGTGGAGCCGCTGACCGGAGCTGGACTGGACCCCGGTGGAGTGGACTGCTCTGGCTCCGGAGTGGAGCAGCTGACCGGAGCTGGATCAGGCACCGGTGGAGCGGACTGCTCTGGCTCCGGAGTGGAGCCGCTGACCGGAGCTGGACTGGACCCCGGTGAAGCGGATTGCTCTGGCTCCGGAGTGGAGCAGCTGACCGGAGCTGAACTGGGCACCGGTGGAGCGGACTGCTCTGGCTCCGGAGTGGAGCCGCTGACCGGTGCCGGACCAGGCAGCGGTGGAACAGGCACGGGCCGTGCCGGACTGGACACACGCACCACTGGCTTGGTGCGGGGAGCAGGAACAGGCCGGGCCGGGCTGGCGACGCGCACCACTGGCTTGGTGCGAGGGGCAGGAACAGGCCGGGCCGGGCTGGCGACGCGCACCACTGGCTTGGTGCGAGGGACAGGAACAGGCCGGACCGGGCTGGCGACGCGCACCACTGGCTTGGTGCGAGGGACAGGAACAGGCCGGACCGGGCTGGCGACGCACACCACTGGCTTGGTGCGAGGGGGAGGAACAGGCCGGACCGGACTGCGAAGGCGGACTGGAGGGGAGAGCTGGCACAACCCGTCCTGGCTGGCTGCCCACTTTCGCACTACACTTGCGGGGCGCTGGCACAGGACGCACTGGGCTGTGCACGCGCACTGGCGATACAGCTCGTAGAACTGGCGCAGGATACGCGGGACCGAGGAGGCGTACTGGAGACCAGGAGCGTTGAGCCGGCACACCCCGTCCTGGCTGAATGCCCATCTTCGCACGGCACGTGGTGCAAGCACAGGACGTACAGGACTGTGCCGACACACTGGCGACACAGTACGTAGCTCCGCATAACATGGAGCTTGCCCAGTCATACGCCTTCTCGCGTGAGTACGGGGAGTTGGCTCTGCTCTAACCCTAGGCTCCGCCAACCACCCTCTTAGCCCCCCCCCAAAAAAAATATATTGGGGCTGTCTCTCGGGCTTCTTCCTCGACCGGCTTCCTCTGTGCTGCCGTTGCTCCTCTCCTGCCTGGGCATCTACCTTTGCCCATGGCACCCACCCGTAGTCTGCGCTCCAGCAGGTATATCTCACTGGTCATTCCCAAAGCCAACACCTCCTTTGGCCGCCATTCCTTCCAGTTCTCTGCTGCCAATGACTGGAACAAATTGCAAAAATCTCTGAAGCTGGAGACTCTTATCTCCCTCACTAACTTTAAGCATCAGTTGTCAGAGCACCTTACCGATCACTGCACCTGTACACAGCCCATCTGAAATTAGCCCACCCAACTACCTCATCCCTATATTGTTATTTATTTTGCTCTTTTGCACCCCAGTATCTCTATTTGCACATAATCTCTTGCACATCTAGCATTCCAGTGTTAATACTATTGTAATTATTTTGCACTATAGCCTATTTATTGCCTTACCTCCATAACTTGCTACATTTGCACACACTGTATATATATTTTCTGTTGTATTTTTGACTTTATGTTTTTTACCCCATATGTAACTCTGTGTTGTTTTTATCGCACTGCTTTGCTTTATCTTGGCCAGGTCGCAGTTGTAAATGAGAACTTGTTCTCAACTGGCTTACCTGGTTAAATAAAGGTGAAATAAAAAAATAATAAATAAAAAAATCCCCGCAAATATCTCCTCCCATGACCACCATTTGCCCACCTGTGACCTGGCAATTCGCTCTTCCTGGGCACGCTGCTTGGTCCTCGTTTGGTGGGATCTTCTGTCACGATCGTTTACAGACGGGTCAGACCAAGGCGCAGCGTGATATGCATAAATGTTTATTTAAACTTAATAAACACAACGACAAAACAATAAACGAAACGAAACGTGAAGTCCAAGGTAGACACAAACAACATACCTTTCACGGAACAAGATCCCACAACCCACTAGTGCCAATAGGCTGCCTAAGTATGGTCCCCAATCAGAGACAACGAGCGACAGCTGCCTCTGATTGGGAACCACACCGGCCAACATAGAAATAGACATACTAGATTCTACAACATAGAACTAACACAACAAGGAATACACACACCCTGACTCAACATATAAGCGTCCCCTGAGTCAGGGCGTGACAGTTCCCACGAGGAAAAATCCTTGTTTTACTATCCTTGTGATTTTAG